CGACTTATGCTTGTGAAAGTTTATTTTCCATAACGAATCAGAAATTAAATCGAAGGAAAGAAATGATTTCACCGAATAAACAACTACTCGCATTTTTCACAGAAAATATTTTATCAAGATAAACATAATACATAAATTACATTACAATATAGCACGAATTTAAAACTCATTTTACTATAGTCAACAAGTGTCCATTGCAACGAGATTTCCCGTGTTGTTTGTTTTTCATGTGATCAAACTATGTAGAATAGTAAATCCGTGCCATAAGTTGCTATACGTTTCGTGTAGAAAATTTGGGCACGTGAGGATAGACGATTTTTTTGTTTTCCTTTTTTCTTTGCAAACACAATTTATTTTATTTATTTATTAATTATTTCTACTCCCGCGGAAGAGGAAGAGTACAGCACGTTATAATATTAAACATATGGAATACGATATGATTAATTATATTAACGCAAAGTAGAAATATAAAATGTTAATTTCGCCTTACTATTTGTAAAAAAAAAAAGAAATCAAAAATATTCATATTATTAAAATTTCTTGGAATTGAGCTACTCAAAACTGAATTATTGATTTGAAGTTTGGCCATTCCGGATTTAACTCGATGTCTGATGTGGAACCTCTATAAGGACATTATTACGATAATAACATAATACTGCTACCGCTACCGATTTGTTAACACACTGTACGACGTTCTCTTCCATAACAATATTTATTATTGTGGTACGTAAAATATTATGGACTACTGTGTATACCACGTGTATTAGCGGACAAATAAACCTTTAAACCGATGTCAAGTTGATATAATAATAATAATAATAATAATAATAAATGTATAATAATTCAAGTGCGTTTTACACGCGTCCGTGCTGATACAATAGTCTATTCATCGCAGTCGCTGTTTAACCCCCCTTCCTGACCCTGCATCATTCTTGAGTAAAATGTTCGTGTACCGAGGGAAAAAAATCGTATTTTATCAAACGGACAATATAATATAAGTTTCCACCTGTACGCGCGCGGCAACACAACAATTCGACACATTTTTATATTTCTTTCGCGTTATATTGTGTGTGTGTTGTACCGCAGTGCAAAAACGTGTCTCTCCGTTCTTCACCGCCAGGACCATCTGTCTCGTACGAGGAGGTTTCTCACCGCCACCATCACCGCTGTTACGACCAAGACCCACTGCTGATTTTGTTATTTTTGCAATGAGCTTGTTTACAGACCGCTACAATGGAGATATTCGGACAAAACGGGGCTAACATTGTCACCCAAAACTGCCTCCCCATCCCTCCACGAAACACCCCCGAGAAACGCACACATTTGTCAATGAACTGCACCGCGTGTCATCACCGCAGGTCAACAGGTTTATTACATTTTGAGCAACGGATTTGTACGCACAAATAACCCATGGAATGAGCTCCTGAAAATACTTTAATGTGCTGCCGGCAAAATATGAATTGATTTTTAAGTACGATTAACATACTTCATGAACATTTTTTACTGTCGTCCAATATTATAAAAGGGATGCATGAAAACCTAATTATTTACAACAGTTAACATTATTTATAATCGTCTTCGCCGGTATCGTTCTTCATTCTTCCCAATAATAACACAGTCGAAAAATTGACCCACGTCTAAAAAAATTGGAACAAAAATATTTTATTCGTCATCGAATTCTTATTTGTCAGTTTACGTTTGCGGCACCGGTTGTTCAGAACAAAAATATGCACTATCAATGAAATTATTCACTAATTCAATTGCAAATAGAAATGCGTCAAATATGTGAAAAAAAATTATTAAAAGTTAAAAATATGCAAGACGTGTAAAATAAAATTGGTGCTGTTTTAAATCGTTCTCATTTTTTATCACATTTCAATTATATTATTCTAATAAACGTATGCATTTAAACATAAATCTATTCCTTATGTTTTATGACGGTTCGATATTGTTCCATGGTATGCAAGGACGATTGTAATACACCTGTACCGTATATTATTGAATTGTCGTATGGATTACGATACATTATCGGCTTCGCGCATCATCCGCAAAACCGTTTCGAACAACGTTTGCAATATATAATATTGTGGAGAAAAATATAAAAAACCAATTTGGGACTTGAACATATACAATATTATCATATACTCAACACTCCTCAAAACTGGAAAACCTATATATAGATTTTAGAAAGGTTTGTAATAATTACAAAATAATTCTTATGAATAATTATTATTAACTATTTACTCAAATAAAATGATTGCGCTATGGTATTGTTTTTTTTTCAGTTGATTTCGTGATTTTATGAAATCCCCGTGAAATCATATTCTATTATTATATCTATTCGTATACTAAAATAAGTATTTTCACGTGATTTAGATGCGACTTTTTCTGGTATAAATGATTCTCATACTTTAAATCGACACCTGTTCATTGTTCTCGATGCCCTCGGATTAGAACTGCCGTATAAACCTCCATAGTGTGTTTGATGATCGCGAGGGCGATTGAAACCTAATATTGTATTGTTGATGTCACACGATAATTCGGTAGACATGATAACTGCGAAATGTTGTATTGTGTTATTGCACACATCGGTACAGAAATACTTGTACCCACTGCAGGGAATGTGCACATCGCGGACAGAAATGCCTAAACGAAATAATTATATGCGAAGCTGTTACCCGCGATTCATCCGAAACGACCCACTTGTAATATTGCAATACGTACGCGCGTCCGTACATGCACTGAAAAAAAAAGTCGTTTATATTATGAATAAATGGCAATCATTGATGATTTTAACTGACCCAATGTATTTTTTTACCATTGCAATAAAATATTGTTTATTGATGGATAATAATGATGATTAACTTTATAAATTAGTATTCATGAATACAATTTGTTTTTTTAATCATTTGTACAAAAAATAGTTATTGAAGTAATAATTTTTGCCATTGAACCCATAAATATATAGTTAATACAGTTAATCACTTTAATAAATTAAATAGTGATACTAATGTATTAATCTATTATATTAATAAACAGTAATAGTATTTTGTAAAAATATTTTTATGAAATCAATATGTACGTTTATTGAATTGAATAATAAGTTATTTATTAACGTAATGTTGTATTTCGTTATAATAATCATCAAAATATTCAAAATGATTATTTTCGTAATGAATAATAAAAACAAGCATATTATTATATCTGTAAACTCTAATTATTGGGATAACATATATGCTATGATTAAGTCGAAAATTGAATTTATAAAAATGATAAACTCAGTAACAGTTATTAATAACCGTTTTGATTTTTCATTATATTAATAAAACATTTTTTAATAATAATGTACACGTTTTTGTTATCAACAACTGAATTGCCATTCCCTATCGCGATTATTTTATACACTGCACGTGTTAGTGGTTTCTATACATTTATCTCCAAAAAAATTTCGTATTTTCAAAAAAGTGCGTGTGTGGTCATTTTGTGTACCTGTGAAAAAACGTAAAATAAGAAATACAAATCTATTTATTTTACTATACATTTAAAAAACTAAATGTACTACTGTGTTAGTCCAATTATATTTTATATAATATAGTGGCATGCGTTGATATTTTTAAGTTAATAATTTTAAACCAAAGAAGTTAACTAACCATCTTGGTATTTATTCAAAATTTCCTTAACAATGTTTTTCTAGAAAAAAGTATTAGACTTAGTTCTTTGACTTTTATTTGAATGCAAAAGTAAAAATATTTATACGTTTTCATGATCAATAACAGGTATCATTTTTGTCAATACACTCTGGGCAGGAATACTTTCTAAAATTATTTTGTAAATATTAATGATAATTTCAATTTAATGGTCAATGGTTCAATATTCATTGAATTTAAAACTTATAATAAAAAGGTACTAAACACTAGTTGGCACATACCGTCAGTCATTGTATTGGATTCATACATAATTAAAGATATACATGTTATCCACTCGAATATAAATACTGTATGTCGATGTAAAAACGAAAAAAATTTAAAGTTGAAGAAATCTAAGCTCCAGACAATCGACGTGTCGAACGGAATATACACACGAAAGAACAACACCTTTGATATCCGAACGATTAATAGGACTTGGAAAACAATAATACAACACATTATTCTGGTTGTTTATTCGAATATTTCCCGACGGCAAAGAATTTATTCTCGGTAAGACATTACGAAATTAATATAGATATGAACAGTATGATTACGATAGCAATTTTTTTAATTAGTTTATAAACCGTTCAACTGTGTACAGTATACGTGCTCATATTATATAGACACGCAATTGCGACGTACTTTTCAAACGTTCCATCATATTTTTCAGACGTGACAATTTACTTTGGATCGATAATACGTGATGTTAATCGTAGATCTAGGAAGATGGATCGCGATTTTTCCCAAACGAACCGAAATTAATTGAAAACGCGATATCAAAAAATATTAATCTACTTCTCGACAAGAACCAACGGTCCCCCCCTCCCCCAAACTATTCACACGCCGTTCGTCGGTCGACGATCATCTAATATTATATTTTTTACCCCGTAGGTATTATATATCATATATATATATATACAGTAAGTTCCCGTTACAGCGAACTCCAAGGGACCTTATTTTTTTTTCGTTATAACGGAAATTTGAAATAAAAACAAATTTAAAAACATTATGTGATTCAAATACAAATTGTATGTAAATATGTAATAAATAAATAATTCAAATGTAAATAATTTGCGGAAAAAATAAATAACTTTAATATACATAAATAATTGACAGTTTTAACAAAAGTAAATAATTTGCGAAAAAATAAATAACTTTATTATAGATAATCATCAATTTTCTTTTGAACAAGGTTTGCTGTTTTAATAAAAAGTAAATAATTTTGTATTTGGTGAATGTTTGTAAATATGATGTCCGGTACATCACTCTGTGATGTAATGAATGTTCGAATTACTTCCAAACTTGAGATAAGGCTTATGATGAAGTGACATTGCGCACATCATTTCCCAACACAGCTTCTTCGTCTTCATCTTCACTACTTTCATCGGTGACCTCATCTTTGCTGTCTTTAATGGATTGAATGATGTCTACTTCGGTTAGTTCATAACATGTTGAAACGTTGTCATCTGCACCGAAATAATCTTCTAAATTCACGTCGTCAGGAAGCGACGTTTTCTTTTTCGCAGTGATCTAAATTTGCTCTAACTCAGATTGTTGGATGTCGTGCGTATTTGATTCATCATATTCGGCCACTTCTGAAACAGAATTAGTGTCTGTGGTTGTATGTTTCCAACAGTTAGTTATTATTGATTGACTGATATCATCCCAAACTCCGCATATCCATTCGATAGCTTCCTTCACATTGCATTTTCTTTGGATATTTTTCTCCAAATCGCATAAAATTTGACGTAACAAAAAAGTTCTATAGCGTGATTTTACAGTTCTGATGATACCTTGGTCAAGAGGTTGAAATACAGCTGTGCAGTTAGGTGGGAAATATTCCACACGAATGTTATCCAATTTTGGTGGTTCATTATGTGGAGTACAGTTGTCGATAAGAAGAAGAATTTTCCTCTTCTTCTTTTTCATTTCTGTATTAAAATCTATCAACCAATCATTAAAAATTATTTGAGTCATTCATGCTTTCTTATTAAATTTATAGATGCATAGCAATGATTTACAGTTTTTAAAACAACGAGGTTTTGCGGATTTGCCAATGATGAGGATTTTTCGTTTCTCCGTTCTCGATTTGTTACAACAGAAAAGAGCGATGATGCGTTGTTTAGAAGCTTTACCCCCTATACACTTGTCTCCTTTCTGGGCTAATGTCCTTTTTGGTTCAAGCTGAAAAAACACTCAAGCTTCATCCGCATTAAAGACATCGTTAGAGCTGTATTCCTTGATGAGTACAGCAACTTCTCCGTTTCGCCATTCGTTAACAGAATTCATTGGTACGTCACTCGCCTCTCCAGAAATGCCTTTGGACAACACACCATAACGCTCACGGAAACAATTTAACCATCCGACACTTGCTTGGAAATTCTCAACTTCGAGCATTTTAGCAAATTCTAATGCTTTTTCTCGAATTAAAGGACCGGTCAGAGGAACATTTCTGGAACGAACATCTTGAAACCATTTGTAAACCGCCGTATCAACGTCTTCAAATTGTGCCTTACGCATCCTTTTCCTGCTCGGGACAAAAACAGAAGTCTGAAATTGTTTCAAGATGCTTTCTCGGTCCTTCAAAATAGTTGACAATGTTGATGGGGGATATGCCATACTTTTTTGCCACCTCGCCTTTCTTCAATCCTTTGTCTACTTCAGAAATTATGTTTTTCTTCTCTTCCGACGAAAATTGCTTTCTTTTTACTGTAGAACTCATCACGTACGTACGTAAAGAAGGATCATAAAATACGAAAAAATAAAAATTACCAACGTGAGAGGTCTATGACCCGAATGATTGTGTAGCGTTATCGATTGACGTGGAATAACACGGTCACACGTTATAATGACAATTTAATGGCTTGATAATTTCGTAAAACCGTATGCTTCTTATCTTTAGATTAAATTAAGTAGGGAAATACATACATTTTAACCAGTACAAATAGTTTGTTGTATCGGGATTATTAAAAATCTATCATTATATTCATTTTATTCATTGTTTTAATAACTTTTCGGTAAGGGATTTCTATGACTTTCGTTATAACGGGATTTTTCGTTGTATCGGTATTCGTTGTAACGGGAACTTATTTTATATATATATATATATATATATATGAACTTATCCAAAAACGCGATCCTATATGCTTTGAATCGACTGTTCGGACTGTAAATGTTATGCGATATGCGGTATGTGTTCTCGTAAGACCTGTTTGCACAAAAACGGTTGTGATTTTCAAACTGTACGAATAAATGAACGGGGAAGAAAAACCCTTATTCGATCAACCGTTAGAAAAGTCGAATTTTTCAAACGTTCGTATTCCCGGGAAACGTGCAAGAACAAAACGGTACGTACGCTTGACCATGCAAAACGAATGATTGACTATTGTTCTGACGATATTATTGGACGCTTTCGAAACGTAAATCAATCGAATATCATTCGTTTCCCATAAAAAAAACACGACTCAAGCCTTTTTCCAAAATGCTTGTGCGCGATCGGAACGTGGACATCTGAGCGCGCGAACGATTTCCCAAAACCGCCCCCGGAAGTCCGAGCCGAAGAGTACAAATTGGTTCCCGAAAAAAATACTTTCCAGTATACAACTGTTCGAATTGGTGTCTGAATAAAATTACTTATCAGTTTATCAGTATACAACTCACTGTTACCAGATAATTTTATGTATTTTTAGCCACTACAGAACGAACAACAAGGTGTTGCGAATCGTTTCATGGAAAACTGAAATCTAGATTTTATTTCGCCCACCTAAATATTTTTTTATTGATTGAACAATTAAAATCGGTACAATGCGAAACATATATAAAACAAAGAAGCTCACTTAAATAAAAGTCAAAAAAAATTTGATGAAAAGGAAAAGTTTATTGATTAAAATAATAAAAAATTGAAAGAGAGTCGAATTTCGAACCTACAGTTCACTAAAAATATGTGTTGTAAATTCATACCACGCTAATTTTTTTCCAATATTATTTACCTATTATGACTTGTAATTACATAATAATTTAAAGATTTAATTTAACAAGGTTGCGGAAAAGCTCCCGGGAACCAATTCGACATTTCGGAAACCGATTAGTAGTCGTCCGCATCGATCACGTCAGAGTCGTCAACCGCGTCGGGTGGATAGCGCGTGCGTACAACGTGCCGCGACAACGGGAATAACGGATGGTGCACACAGGAGTGGAACTAGGGGGTGGAAGATGAGGATTCATCCCCGGGCGTACATTTTAGAGGGTGTAATTTTTGTAATTGTTAACAACTAATTTGATTATTTTAATTATGTTAAAAACTATTATTAGGTTAAAACTCAATAAGTATGATTGTATATTAATTATTAGAAAAAAAATTCTCGAGAAGAGTATTTGATTATTGGTCCACGATATAGCGTAATTTTAACATTTTCCGTGAGCGTAAAAATCCCTAGTTCTACCTATGGGTGCGCGGTGCATGGCATTTCGAGCACTCGTTCGGAAACGGTAAGGCAAACGTGCAGCGAACGGGTGTATAAAGCGATTCGAACAATACAAACCGTTCGGTTATTATTTATTTTTTTATCCCCCTCCCTCGCACCGCCAGGCACACCTCGTCCTTTGAGCGTCGGATTACTTCGAGATTCCGTGTCACGCCGTGTTATTTCGATTACGCGTCCCAATCGAACCGAAAGGGTCGATACACCGAACGCGCGGGTAGTAGTAGCAGTAGTAGTAATAGTAGTATTACTCGGTGTGCTATCATATAAGTGGCTGTTGTACGTTCGTACCTTCGTCCCGTGTGTCCGGACCGCCGCGTCCGTCCCTGTCCGCACCGAAATCCTTTAATTCGAGCGTACTGCGCGCACAATGGGGTGACCGCGGCGGTAGCGTGTAAGACCTATTGTTATCACAGCGACAGCGACAATAGATAATGATAATAATAACGATGATAATAATCACTGTCGTCGGCGAGTACCGATTTAATTAGCCGGCCCGGAGACATAAACCGAACGCGCGCCTAATTGGCTCCCAACAGATACGATAATGTGCAGTCATCATCAATCACTACGTTTCGCATCGAAGGGACAGAGTTGTTTTTTTTTTTCGTACAACTATTATTATCATTATTATTATTATTCGCAAACTTGTCAATTACGCGGCGTTCGCGCATAAAAATGAAATATCGCACTACGGTTTTATGTTTATAACCCTAACAACATCGCCACGAATACATACGGCGTTATTGTACAAGGTGCACGTGTCTATTGATTTTTCTCCGACCGTCCACCACCGGCGGTTAGGTTAGGGTTTTCTCGTTCGCGGTCGACGATCAACGTTTGAACATTCGTCGTTCATAAATGCCTGTGCACTATTTTATGGTACACACGGGCAGAGCCATGCCATGGGGGGGCCTAGGGGGGCATACGCCCCGGGCGCATGGTTTAAAGGAACGCCAAGTATTTATAAAATTATGATTTACGATTAATGATAAATAAAATAGGAGGCGAATATTTTTAATTTTGCTCTGGGCACCAAATCTTAACGGCACGCCTCTGCTCATGGGAATGGCTGGCACCCGTCGGAGGAACACGCGACGATTATTGTGCGTTTTTTTTTTTCTCCAAACATTTTTTGATGATGATAATTATTGAAAAATGACATTCCGTCCCGGCAACCGCTTTACAACGCTAAACGAAACAAATACTACGAAAACGTGAATACAATTAGGTCGATCTGTAAAAAAAAAAAACGCAGCTAAGCGAAAACGCATGTGATGTAAACGTGTATGTTGTGATTAAAAAATGATTCGCGTCACGAACATGATTGTGCGAAAAACTAAGACGGACGAAATTAATTTAAATTTTTTCTGTTCTTTTATCCCCTCCCCCTCCGCGCGTACATCGCGAACCACCGAAAGTACCAAAATGACATATTGATGCGTCGATGTTGCGAATCCCACGATGATAAGAAGAGCTGCAACAGCTGTTTTTTATTATTTTTTCTCTGAATATATATGATATACATGTATGTATACATATGTGAAAAATAAACGGTGGCTTCCCAGAAATTATGAATTATTTTCACCGTAGTATTTTGATTAATATCGGAAAAATATAGCTTTTATTATAAAAAATAATTCAACTTGTCACGGAAACCGTGATTTTTCTTCATGTTGAAACCATTACTATTTTGGTGTAGAAAAAATCCTTTTCGCATTGAAAAAAGCACACAATCACCGTGTATAATAATACTTATTTGTGTTTATTTATACTACTTATATTAATAGTACAACATTTTCTAGATAGATAACTATAAAATGAAAAAATGTACGCTTCTGTCCCTGGGGTCTAAGACTATTTTGACTTTTAACTATACGATTTTTTAAAAAATTCATTAACACATTATCTAAAAATTTCAAATAAATCGATATAGTAGTTTTATCTGTTGCCTTATCACTCTGTGAGTGAGTGGTATTTAAATAATATGTATATATACTATATAGATAACATTGAAATATATAAAATGAATTAAAAGTTATTTGTTCAACGCATAATAACAATACAGTTCATTATATTGATGCAATTCGCTACCTACTCACGTAGAAAAATGTTTCTGATGCATAAATGTTTATCATTAACATTATTACGTAGTCGACTAAAAGATTCAAAGTAACCTATTTTTCAAATTAAACGTTTGACTTTTTAACAATGGTTGCAGTATTGTCTTTCAAACAGTAACATTTGCACAACTTTTACCAATTAATGTAAAGATTATCCTAAAGAGTAAATGTAGGTAGTTAGTAATTTGAGATACAATTTTGTTTTTTGTAATCTGATAAAATTTAAAATAGTCACTAATTTGATTAAATTAAATAAATATTAGTAAATAGTTAATAGATACTTGTAAATTAATGCATAAAAGATTATTTTATATATATATAGATATAAATAAAAATTAATTATATACAATTAATAATATTATGAATAAATAAA